ACCTATACATTTTCGTGCTTATATTCATGCTTATCTTGTATTTGTGAAAAAATGAGTTACCTCTTTGACTGAGCAATCACTATGAATGACCTTAATGAGAGAGAGAGAGAGAGAGAGAGAGAGAGAGAGAGAGAGAGAGAGAGAGAGAGAGAGAGAGAGAGAGAGAGAGAGAGAGAGAGAAAGAGAGAGAGAGAGAGAGAGAGGGAGAGAGGGAGAGAATAAGTGTGCGTGCTTGTGTGCCTGCGTGCGTGCCTGCGTGCGTGCCTGTGCATGCATGATGCAAAGTGCGTGTCCCGATGTTTGAACCAGGACTGAAAGTCGGTTTGTCGTTGGCGTCGTTTCAGGTTCTACGAGGAAGGAGGCTGGGAGCTGGTGGGCGCGTGGCTGCAGGAGGCGGTCAGCTCGAAGAATTGGCCGCTGGCGGGGCAGGTGCTGACCCTGCTGGACTCCTCCCCGATGACGGTCACGAGGCTCAAGAGGACCACGACGCCCAAGCTGGTCAAGGAGCTGTCTAGGGACTGCCCTAGCGAAGGTGAGAGTCGCGCTCGTTTTAAGGCTGAGATGGGTTTTTGTTTTGGCATTTCTGTGGCGATTGCTTGATCCTTGGTCTTAAATTTGTCCCGCTTGTCTTCGGCAGATGTACAAAACACAGCCAAGCAGCTGGTGCACAAGTGGATGGAGGTGGTGCGGCAGGGCGACGGCACCGCGGCCGGCGTGGGGCTGGGCAACGCCTGTGGCGGGGACGACGACGAGGAGAGAGCGGACGCGGCGCCCTTCCAGCAGGAGGATGTGGCCATGGTCGACCTGACCTCGCCCGACCCCGAGGACGAGGACAAGGGCGAGTCGGGGCCCTCGCAGACGCCCCAGACTGGCTCCAGGGAGTCGTCACTGGGCGAGGGCGGCGACGCCAGCTCCTCCCTCGACTGCCAGGACGAGTCGTCCAACGCCTCCACGGAGAGCGACACGACGCCCGCGCCCACCACGCCCATCCGCATCACGATCCGCAGCGGCTCGCAGGTGTTGGCCAAGGTGTCGTCGCAGCGCCTGAGCCAGGACTCGACCGACAGCGACGACAACAAGCCCTTGAGTGTTATCAAGCAGGAGGTGGAGAAGGCCCGGCAGGCGCGGAAGGCGCTGGAGGCGGAGAAGGCCTCGGCGGGAGCGGCCTCAGCTACCTCAAGCACGCCCGCCGCGGCGCCCACAGCTACCACAACTACCTCGCTCTCCACCCCAGCCGGTGACGAGGCCGGGGCCGACAGCACAGCCACTACCTCTTCAGAGACCAATGATGTCCAGCCGAACGGTGCTGAGGGCGCCACCGCAGAGGGCGCCGCTGCGTCAGGGACCACGCCCACAGTGCACACCATCGTGACCTTTACGGGAGGGCTTTCCAGCACTAGTTCGCCCGCCGCCGCGCAGCCGTCCGCGGCGGCCGAGGAGGCGGGCGGCGAGGCGGCGGGCGGCGCGGCGGCCGGCGGCGTGGCGGCCAGCAAGGAGGTCGACGAGGCCAAGGGAGTGAACGGGGAGGACGAAGGGAAGGGCAGTGACGCGGCGAAGGGGGAGGAGGAGGAGGAGGAGGACAAGGTGAAGGAGGGAGGGAAGGATGTGAAAGTGGACAATAAAGACATGAATGGAGCGAGCGCCGATAGCGACGCCCAGCTCAGCTCGGAGAGTAAAGATGTTGTAGACAGTAAAAGCAAAAGCGAATCCAAAGAGAAAGACAAAGACAAGGAAAAGAAAAGCAGTCGAGAGAAAGAGAAAGAGCGAGATAGAAAATCGAAGGACTCGGAGAAGGATAAAAAGAAAGAAAAGGAGAAGGAGAAAAGTAGAAGTTCCAAAAGCAGCAGCAGCAGCAAATCGGAGAAGGAAAAGAGTTCGAGAGACAGACACAGAAGTAGCAGTAGCAGTAGTAAAGACAAAGATAAAGATAGGAGAGACAAGGACCGTAGTAAAAGCAGCAGCAGCAGCAGTAGAGACAAGAAGAGCAGCAGTAGAGATAAAGAGAAAGAACGGGAGAGAAGCAGAGAGAAGGAAAAGGAACGAGAGAAGGAGAGGAAGAACAAGGAGAAGCAGGAGTCGGAGGACAAGGCCACGCTGGAGAAGGTGAAGCCTCACAGCGCCGACGGCCTGGCCAAGATCCCGAGGAAGCAGGCCAGCTTCTTGGACGCGCTGGGCTCCGCCGACTCGGAGCTCAACGAGGCCAAGAAGCCCTCGGTGAAGACGTACAAGTCGCGGGGCTTCCGCAACACGGGGCTTCTGGACGAGCCCACCAAGCTCCCGGGCGTCGCCGGCAAGAAACCAGCCGGGGCGGAGAAGAAGGGCGGCGTCGGGGGCCTGGCGGTTGGGAGTGCGCTGTCTCCTTCCGGGGGGCTGAAGAGACCGTCGCCGCTGGACGACCTGGCGTCCCCGCAGCCCGACAAGCGCGTGAGGTCGTCCGTCTCGTCGTCGCCGCTCAACGCCGACAAGCCCGGCGGAGTCAAGCTAATTTCGCCCAAACGACGTAAGTGGAAGGAAGACGCTCGCCGCTACCTGCGCTGCTTTCAGGGTGTTGCGCATAGCTCCTTGTTTCTTAGCTGTTCCCCCTTTCTAATTCACCTTTTCTTTTCCTTCTGTTCTTGCTTTCTTGTATTCCAATATTCGATTCGTAATATCAGTTATAGAAGTCATCTAGTAGGGGGTTTATGGTTAAAATATGAATAGATATATTTTTTTCCTTTATTTTTTCCTTTTACATTATTCTCTTCCTTTCCATATTTAGTTCTCCCTCCTTTAATCCGTGATTCCTTGCTTTATTTTGATTTCCTTTTATTATTTTTACCTCTTCCACCCTCTTTTTTCTCGAAGGTAGTGGCGAGCCAGACATTAGCCTAACATGGGACTTCAAGGGAGTTGGAGGTGGTAGGCTGTTCACAAAATATCGATTTAAGAGTCATACCCAGTTTTTTTTCCATGCCGTTTTGCAAATGATTATATATTTAACGCAAATAGCCATCAGCAATTTACCTGTCCATTATATCTTATATCATTATGTCTTTTTTTTTAAATGAGACTCCCATCTCCAGCTCCCGAAGGTACCTTGGTCGGGGATATAGGTGGTTACCTTAGGAACAAATGTATGACAGAAGAGCCCATCCTCTGTTCACAACCATGCTCGTATGTGAGCTGTTTGTGAACTGGCAGTTGGAAAATGTGGAAGGCCTCCCTTTGGCTTGGTGTATTACTTGATAAGTGTCTTTGCAGTTCACAAAAAAAAATCAGTTTTCTATTTGTAAGGTAAAGGTGTTGCAAGTGTAAATGCATTGTAAGAGGACATCCATTTATGATAATCACCCAAGGATGTTTTATTTTTTCTTGGAAAATATCATGAGAAATGAGATGAACAGTCATTTCAGACGGGTAGAGTTTGTGCTCAAGTAAAGTCATTCCTTTGAATGTCGAAAAATAGTCATAAATTATTATCGTTTTAACAGTTTCTCTACCTCATGTTATGGAACATATGTAAGCCAGTGTTCGTTTTGTAAGGACGTCAACAGACCCAAAGTGTAAGATCTGTTAGAAATTCACATGAATATTTTGATTGGTGAACATATCTTCCACCTGTTCTTAACTCCAGCTTGATATTTTCAGGTCATATTATACAAATCTCACATGACGGTGCCTATCTTTACAGGATGTTTTTTTATCAATGCTTTCATTTTGGGTACCCTTGTTTCAATGATCAGATGTGGAAGTTGAGATAAACCTCCCAACCCCCATGTACACTCTTGCTCTTAAACGGGTTGAAGTGTTCCTTCTTCCAGTTATGGCAGCAGTGCAGACTCCGGAAAGCGGCGATCATCTCCTCTGTAATGTCCAAATAAAAAAGTTGACCTTCTTCCCTGTAAACACACTCCGGGAGCACGGATGAGCCGAGGGTCCGCCCGTGCCACATCAGCTGCTGCTTCAGGTCCCGACGTCCGTGACGCCAGCCGTCCTTGCAGTGGCACCCCCGCCCCCTTCGGCTGGGGGAGGACGCAGGGACACACTATGAGCCCTGGGGTCCAACAACGTATATATGTATATTGCACTCCATGTGAAATATATGTATATATAAATCTAGTGAACACATAAAATAAAACACCTTATTTAGGACGGGGGACATTTGATGAGCCCCCTTAGGTAGCCAGGGTGTGACCTCTCACGTGGGAGTCACATAGGGGGGACGTGCCCATGAGCCCCCAGGGGTAGGTAGGCTAGCCAGGCAGACGACGGGACGGGGCAGAGTAGTCAGGCGAAGGGAAGAGTGCGTGGCCGCCGCTAGCATGTCTTCGAATCCATCCAGTCTTCTTTCATCTCGAATTCTTAAAAAGGAGGTTGTGTGTGTGCATGTCTAAAGAGGAACGGCACGAACTTCGGGAATTGTGATGTAATATGCAAAAAAAAAACAAAAGAAATCGAAGGTCGTGAAAATGAGAGAGAAGTCAATACGAAAGTCGGGTCATTGTAACATGCATTATATTGTATCGGAAATTATCTTCAGAATTTCAAAATCTTTACTAATTTTTTTGGGGGGGGAATTTAGTTTGCCTCGTCTTCAAACAAACTTTTTTTTTTTTTTTTTTTACATTTTGCCGTATGTAATTTTGGACGAGGTGATGGTCGGTGATTGTTCTGGATCCAAGAATAGGTATATAAATACATTTTCTGTTTTGTTTATTTTTTATTTAAAGATTGAAATTCCGGTTTCAGATTGGCTTCAAATGCAGCTTAACAATAAAGGCTTTGTTGCCCAAGCTGTGTTTGAAGGTAGGACAGAGCTTTAGTTAAGCGGTAAATCAACTTAAATTAATCGTTTTCCCATTTAATTAATTCGCATAAAAAGTAAGCTAAAGTGCGCCCGAGTAATTTTTTGGACAGTGTTCAATAAAACTTTTTTTTATTTATTTATTAGAGGAGTGTTATCATCATTATTTTTTTTAGGTTATTAGAGCGTTGTTAATTTTTGGATTTTAAATTCTTGTTAATGGTGTTCTCACAGTAACAACGACATATAATAATAATAATATATTCCCTATAATTTGGTGTTTATCTTTACAAGTATATCCGTTCTTTATTGTTCACTGTTGGTATCAGTTTAGGAGTACCATTATTGTTGTTATTAGTTTTTATTATTATCTCTCTACTTTGATTAGTTCTTTTATAATTAGTCTGCCTTTATCACCATGAGTATTTTATTTATCATTACTGACGATAGCGTTGATATGGTTATTTTTGTTTTCAAATGTGTTGTTTTATTTGTTGTTAATATTGTTATATATTGCTATTTTTATGTAGTGATAACGTCATGATCTTATGAGCAGTATTGATACCGTTATCATTTTAATAATTTTGTTATCTGTTATTACTATTGGCCATTTTATTATTAATATTGTTACTGGTCATTGTTTTTATTAGTTATTATTATTATTATTATTATATTTTTATTAGTTGTTATTGTTATTGCTGTTTATTATTCTTATTGTCATTATTACTATTATTATTATTTATTATTTTTGTCGTTATTACTAATGCTTTATTATTATTATTATTATTATTATTATTATTATTATTATTATTATTATTATTATTATTATTATTATTATTATTATTATTATTATTATTATTATTATATTTCTTTTTCTTCTCCATTTTATTAATATCGTTATCACTCTCGCTGTCATTACCACTATCACTTATTATTATTATGGTATTTATTATACTACGGTTGTTGTTACTTTTATCGTCGTCGGCCTCACTATCATCATCATCATCATCATCATCATCATCATCATCATCATCATCATCATCATCATCATCATCATCATCATCATCATCATCATCATCATCATCATCATCATCCATATCATTAATCATCATCATTATCCATATCATTAATCATTAACGCATTGCCGCCGGGGATGGCATATACGTACATGCCATGCCCACTGTGAGTCGACTTGTTCGATTGTTTTTACACATAGATGGCTACACTTGTACTAAGTATCCAATGAGCCAATTACGAGTACTGCCTGTCTCGCCCGTTCACCCTTTTCATCGACTTACGAAAATATTTAACGTTATCCTAATTTGCTGTTAAAAATAACACCATCTATATTTATAGCACTAGTAAGAATACGTTTTTTTTTCCCGCCAATTCAAGGAAAGGTGAAATGAGGACTAGCAGAGCCACCTATGGACAGACATATTTCACAAGAATATAAAAAAATGAGTACAGCATTTCCCCCATTTTTTGTTCATTTTCCCCGGCGGCAATGGGTTAATCATTAATCATTAATCATCAATCATCAATCATCTACCTATTATGTGATTATATCATCATTGTTAAGTTGTTATTATAACTATTATTAATATGTTGTTTCCTTACTTAAATTCGAATCTAGAGGATCATTAAACGAACAGATAAATAAAATTGCATGTATTTTGGTAAATTATGAAATTAATTGAACTGTTGTAATATTAAGTAAAACTACCTATCTCTCTCTCTTTCTCTTTCTCTCTTTCTCTTTCCCTCCCTCCCTCCCTCCCTCCCTCCCTTTCTCCCCCTCCCTCTCTCCCCCTCTCTTTCTCTCTCTCTCTTTCTCTTTCCCTCCCTCCCTCTCTCCCCCTCTCTCTCTCTCTTTCTCTTTATCTCTTTCTCTTTCCCTCCCTTCCTCTCTCCCCCCTCTCCCCCCCCTTCCTCTCTCTCTCTCTCTCTCTCTCTCTCTCTCTCCTCTCTCTCTCTCTCTCTCTCTCTCTCTCTCTCTCTCTTTCTTTCTTTTCTTTCTCTCTTCTTTCTCTCTTTCTCTCTTTCTCTCTTCTCTCTCTTCTCTCTCTCTCTCTCTCTCTCTCTCTCTCTCTCTCTCTCTCTCTCTCTCTCTCTCTCTCTCTCTCTCCCTCTCCTCTCTCCCTCCCCCCCTCCCCCTCCCTCCCTCCCTCCCTCCCTCCCTCCCCACCCTTTCTCACCCTCTCCTCCCATCTGCCTCTCCCTCTTCCTCTTCCTCTTCTTTCCACCTCCACTCATCTCTTCCTCTTCCTTCCACTTGAACACCTTTTCCGTCTGTTCCTCACTGCCTCTCTCTTCTCATCCTCTCCTCTTTTTCTCTCCCTCTCCTCATTTTCTCTTCCTCTTCTCTCTTCTAGTTTCCCCCAAACTGCGTTACGTTGCGTTACATGTTTAAAAGATGATTATTTAATACCTGTGTAATTAAAGTTGGCAACATGATATCCTAGGTCATAGGGCCTCCACCTCATCCGAGTCTTAGGGAGAAAACGTGTGAATTTTGCGCTGTCTATAGATTTTTTTGCGTGCGTGCGTGCGTGCTTGCGGACCTGGTATTTGCGCGTGAGTGTGCGCACGCGTGTGTGTATGCGAGTGTGCGTTTGTGTACTTGTACGTTAAATTTCGTTCGATGGTTTAAATTCATAAAGAAATTTAAAGATTGTTTTTTAATTGTTTACTCCATTTTTTGTGGGAATAGTGTC